ACAGCGTAGTGTCTCGGAGCGCTTAACAGTGGCAGAACTGAACTGTGTATAGTAGAAAAGAACATTTATTGACCATTCACTTCAAGGCTGATTGTGCGACATTGCTGCTATATCAAATAGAAGGATTACTATTATTATTTTCCGATTAATTCTGTGGATATAATATCGGGACTGTTTTTACTTTGGTAGCTAAAATATCTTTGGAAATCACTGTGTCCTTTTTGTTTTAGCTCCACATTAACCATCCACTAATGGTTGCTCTATATCATATTGATGCATTACATCATCTGTGCACTAAACTCTCAATGCTTATGAAAGGTTCTTGTCTTTTAATCTCTGTGCCAATTCCATTGATAAGGTTAATGACCTCCGCAAGCAAAGGTCAGCCATGCAGGCAGCAGTATTGATGTCTCTAAGGAGTACAAAGATAACTCCAGCGATTACTATTAGTGTAAGACCACAACGGTGAGTTAATTTGCCCACTTGGAATGGAAGATCTAAGGGAAAAAAGATTGTACCCTTCCACCTCTGGCTAAGATGCTTCAGTGAAAGCCTCACATTACAACAAAAACAACATATTGTATTTATACAGTACCTTTCATGTCAGGAAGATGTCCTTGGACAGTTGCAGGTTTGCATCCGAGCTGGGGGCTGGATTTGGGAGGGTGGGGGCCAAGGTTTGTGGGGGTGAGCAGGGGAAGATAGCTGGAGGCGCGATTAAAGAGGCCTTGGGATGTATTTCGAAGGAGGCAAGGGAAGGGGAGAGGCTAAGGATCTCCGGAATGGAATTCCAGAGAGTGGGGGCAGAAAGGTAGAAAGGCTGAAAACCTGACCTCCAACAGTGGGGCAGGCAGAGTGGGGGATATCAAGCAGGCTGGTGACTGCCAAACCCGGGGAGTGGGGTGTGTTAAGGTTTTAGAAGGTCACAAAGGCAGGTTGGGGAAACTGTGGCGGGATTTAAAAGTGAGGACGAGGATCTTGAACTCAGAGACAAATCTGCCTAAGACTGGTTTATTTGTGCCAATTCCACACAATTCCTTTGATTTGAACGTCTTCGGGTTTATGTTGCTAACTCCCTTTTATAATCCTTGAATTTGATATAGTGCCTTTTACATGCAGAGGTCGTCTCATAGCGCTTCCCTAGATTCATTGTGAAGTGTAGTGACTACGTATTTGTAGGTGACCGCAGCAGCCAAGTTGCGCACAGCAATGTAACCACAAGAGATATGAAGTAAATGACTTTTGAAGAATGTAAATGTGAAAGATGTATTTTATGCAGGAAAGACTGTTCAATGTAATTGTGATCTTTACCAGGCAATATGTTTATCTTTGTATGATAATATTTCTCCTTCTCTATCACTGTACTTCAGGAGAGGAAAAGTCAAACTATCCCCTTGGAATTTAAATTAAATGCGAATCAGATTCTGATGTAACCACTCTGCTCACAACTCTGAGGAACTGGTGAATAACGTGTTAGGATAGATCTGCCACTTCAACGGTGAGCAATGGCTGATGAATCAGTCCTTTTAAAAAACCCCGCAGAGCGCACCTTCTCAAAATGAAGCTCTTTGAAATACTCTGCTAAAAATAATAAAGCTCTCAGTTCTTCTTCATCGCTTTCCTCTTCCCCCACAAATAAAGATGATTGTGCCTTAATCGCCTCTGCTTCAGTTGGGAGCACTCTCACCTCTAAGTCAGAAGGTTGTGTATTCAAAGCACAGATCGAAACTTTGAACTCATATAGCATAGCTGACACTCCAATACAGTGCTGGGAGATCTTGACATTGTTCAAGGTGCCGTTCATTGGACTAGACATTAAAACTGAGGCCCTGTTTGCCTGTTCAGGTGGCTATTAAAGATCCCATGACATATTTTGAAAAGAAAACAGACTTTCTCCCAGTTTCCTGGTGAGCAATCCCCCAGATAAGATTGGTCATTCACTTCATAGCTATAGGATATTGCTGCACCTGAAATTGGCTGTTGTATTTTGCCTATACAAATATAGTCACTATACTTTCCAGTGAATCCTCTGAGACATCCTACCAACGTGAAAGGCACCATTAAAAATGCAAGAATTATTATTATTGTTAATTATCAGGGCATTTAACAGTTGGCAGATATAGTAGGGTGCACTAAGCAGGAAGAAGGGAGGTTAAGAATGTGGAACAAAAGCAAAAGAGATATAGCTTAATATACCACGTGGAACATTTTTAAAACATCTTCCAAAAATTTATATGCACAGCACCCACTGCATTATCTTTATCTATTCATTCTTTTCGTTCCTCAAGAAATATCAAGTTAATCAAGCACAAGCAGACTTTTACAAAACCATGTTTGCTCTTCCAGATTAACCCACGCCTATCTAAATGTTTGCTGATTTGATCTTGTATTAGTTGAAGCTTAAATAGCCTATAATTTACAGATTTTTCCCAAAACCCAGTAATAACAAGGTTGGCATTTGATAAAAGCCCATATATCAGTCCATTTCAATGTATCTTGCGAAGCACTTTGACACGTCCTCCAGACATGAAAAGTGCTATATCATATACTAATAATCCTTGCATTTGGTATAGGGTCTTTCATGTCAGGATGTCTTAAAGATCTTCACAGGGTATACTGTAAAACATAGTGACTGTATTTTGTGGACGAATGCATCAAATACATGGCAAAGCACTTAATAATAATCCTTACTTTCACATCTCAACAGACTTCACAGGATATACTGTGAAGTGCAATGACTGTGTTTTGAGGGCAAATGTGGCAGCCAACTTGTGCGCAGCAATGTTACACAAACAGCCTTGAAGTGAATGGCCAATTTTATCTGCACCTTTCAGCGTCCAGAGGCGAGAGTGCTCGCAGCTGAGCCAGGCTGACTTCGGAGGTAATTGTAGTGCCGAGTGTAGTGACTGTGCAGTATGTGCGGTACTACATTGGCCAGTAGTGCAAGCAGCCCATTTATTTGCCAAGACGTTGGGAGGAAACGACGATTTAGAGGCTGCACGACTTCCATCTCGGCTTCCCCACACCCCAGTACACGCCTCCGTTCACCGGGCGGGAAACAGGAACCCCCGGGGTCGTTAAGTCGATGGGCGGATCGCTTTTAAATCGGTCGCTTCGATCCACGACTTGTTTGTGGGGGACGATCGCCGCGCGAAAGCGCCCGCAAAACACACAGTCACTACACTTTACAGTGCATCCCGTGAAGCGCTTTGAGACGTAGCGAAGACGTGATCAGGCGCCGGGTCAAAGGCAGGGATTATTATTATTGTTGTTGTTGTTGTTGTTATTGCAGCACTGTGCAGCCTATCCTCATGGCCCCCACATTGCCTCTACGACCCCCCCCCCTCGCCCCGCCCCCCTTGTGTATCCTATTTCCCGACCTGTCAATCACACCAACCCGCTGCGTCACGTGGGGCTCTTCATGAATGACGGCGCCCCTCCCGCCTGCGGGAAGCCCGACGTCAGACTTGGGGCCCCTCCTCCTCCTCCTCCTCCTCCGCCGCCGCCCGCCTCCCGGGTGCCCCGCCCATCGCCCGTCTCTGATTGGCCGGATCGGGCCGGTGACGTCAGCGCGGGCTGCCGTCCCCTGCTTTGGCGATTGGGTGTCGGGAGCCGTCAATCGGAGGTGTCTCCGCCCCGCCCTTCCTTCAGGTCGGTGAAAGGGGGGGGGAGCGAGCGAGCGCGCCTGCGCGGGAGGAATCGCGCGCATGCGCGTCTAATGCCGTCAGTCAGTGAGCGAGCGAGCGCGCCCGCGCGGGAGGAATCGCGCGCATGCGCGTCTAATGCAGTCAGTCAGTGAGCGAGCGAGTGAGTGAGTGAGTGAGGCGACGACAACGCTCGGTGACGGTTTTTTTTAAACCCCCCCCCCCCTCACACCTTCCTCCTCTCCCCCCCCCACCCACCCCGTCTCTCTCTCTCTTTCTCACGCTCCTCCTTCCCGCTTCTCGTTTATTATTCCCCCCCCCCAAAAAAAAAAAACCGGTCGCGGTTGGGGGCTCCGTCCCGAATAACGAGAAGGGCACAGGAGAAGAGAGGAGAGGGAACGGGAGGCCATCCCGTCCCGTCCCATCCCGGCCATCGTACAGCAAAAACCCTCCCCCCCCCCACCCCGAGCAACTAACCCCCCCCCCCCCCGCTCTCCTTCCCCTCCCTCCCACCCACCCTCCCTCTCTCCCTCCCTCTCTCTCTCAGGTTGGTGTGGTTTATTATTATTATTTATTTATTTATTGTTGTTGTTGTTGTGAGGGGAGAAGCGGGTGAGTGGGGGAAGGGGTGGAGGTGGTGAGCGGGTGTGAGGTGGTTGGGGTGGTGGGGGGGTGAGAGAGAGAGAAAAATAAAACACAAAAGGCTGTCCATGGACAAGCAGTCGGCAGCGGTGAGCAGAGGCGACGGGTGGCGGGGGCTGACAGCGCCGTGTTAGTGTCGGCGAGAGAGCCGAGCGAAGGGGAGGGGGGGGAGAGAGAGAGGGCTCGTCGGCCCTGTGGAGAAGCGAGTGTCGGCTTAAGCTGTTGGGGGGGGGTGGGGTGAAGAGTGGGAAAAAAAGGGGGTTGGGGGGGGCGGGGGGGTCAGGTCTCGGCCCCGGGGGTAGGTAGGTAGACAGAGAGAGAGGGAAGGGAGGAGGGAAGGGAAGGTCGAGCTCGTCACATTTACTTTTTTTTTTAAAAAAAATTTCAGTATCACTTTCTCAAAAAAAATATTATTATTATTATTCCCTCTCTCTCTCTCTCTCCCTCCCTCCTCCCTTCCTTCCTCCCTTCCTTTCCCCTCGTCTTTGACAGTGGACTTGTTTTTATTATTATTATTTTTTTACCGGCCCCCCCCCCACCCCCCGGGCCCCGGGCGTTTATTATTGGGGGGCCACTCACTCGGGGCCGGCGAGGGCCGCGTCGAAGTGAAGGAAGGAGTGAGTGAGTGAGAAAGAAAGAGAGAGAGAGAGTGAGCGGCGGCTGCTCTTCACTCCTTCGTTGGGGCCGCTTTTAACGGGAGGAGCCGCCGTCGTCGTCGCCGCCGCCGTCGCTGCTGCTGGGACTCGGTTTGTCGGTGCGGTCGCTGAAGCCGCGCCGCTTTTTTTTCTCTCTCTCTCTCTCTCTCGAGGAGGAGAAGAGGAGGAGGACGAGGGGAAGGAAGGAAGGAAGGAAGGGGAGGAAGGGGAAGCACAAGAAGATGTCGTCGCCCACCGCCGTGGTGACGGCGGCGGAAAAGGTGGACGGCTTCACCAAGAAATCGGTGCGGAAGGCGGCCAAGCAGAAGAGATCGCAGGGATCGTCGCAGTTCAGGAGCCGGAGCAGCCCCATCGAGATCCTGCCTCTCCCGCCCTTCAAAGGTAGGCACAGCTTTACCATTCGCACCCCCACCTCCTCAAAGGTGTGGGAATCCAGAGCTTGTACCCCCCCCCACCACCACACACACACACTCACTCACTCACTCACTCACTCACTCTTCCCCTCCCCTCAGAGATGATGAAAATCCAGAGCTTGTACCCCCCCACCACACACACACTCACTCACTCACTCTTCCCCTCCCCTCAGAGATGATGAAAATCCAGAGCTTGTACCCCCCCACCACCACACACACACACACACACATGCACACATTCACTCTTTCTCTCAGAGATGTGGAAATACAGAGCTGCTATAATGATAATAATCCTTGCATTTGATAAAGCGGCTTATTATTATTATTATTATCACGTCGTTGAGATGTCCGGAAGCGCTTCGCAGAATATACTGTCAAGTGAATTGACTATACTTCATCCCCCCGTTCACTCTCCCCTCCAGCGATGTGGAAATTCAGAGCTTTTGCTTGCCTCCCTTCGAAGATTTCAAAATTTAGAGCTTTTACCCTCCACCCCCCCCCCCCCCACCCACCCACCATTTCCCTTCATCTCAGAAGTAACAGGCATTCAGAACTTTTACCCTCTTTCTCTCCTCAAAGGTACAGAGATTTGGAGCTCTTGCCCCCATTTCAAAAGTACATTTTCCCCTCTGAAAAATGTTGAAGTTCAGAGATTTTATCCCTCACTTACATTCTCTGAAAGGTACTGGGGCTCAGACACTGGGAGAGTCCAATTTGCAGTATTTCTTAAGATTTATTCATGAGGTCCTGTTATACTTCCTACGGGATGAGCAGAAACTCACATCGGAGATCATATCAGACTGGAGTTCCCTCAGGTTATTGTGACGTATTTCCCTTGGCAAATAGGAAGAGTTCATATTGCGTAATTAATTCCTTATTTGAAGATGTTCATTAAGAAATAAAGGTAAAATAGATTCCCAAATTTAATTTCCCTTTCCAGTAAAGTAGTGAGGTTTTGCCTTTTATCTGTTTCTTTCTTAAGTTTCTAAGATGACAATTTTTTTTGGAAAGGAAGAGTTGATAATAATCCTTCATTTGATATAACACCTTATCATGTCGTTGGGATGTCTCAGAGTGTTTCAGGATGTACTGTAAAGAGGATTGACTATTTTGATAATTTAGCAACTGTCACATTTGCAAACATTGGGTTTGAACAATCATTGCAGTGTTTCAAATGCTTCAAAATGATGACAATACATTTGATGTACATACATTATTTTGAAAATGTTGCATTGTTCTTTCACCACAATTTGACATGCACTAATTTGTCTGAATGTTTTAGACGTTACTGTACTTTGTTTCATAGCAAATATTAATAATTTCACAAACCAGTCATAACTGTTGAATGCAATGGAACTAAACCATAACAGTGAATTATTACATAAATATCAGACTTCAGAACAGCTTTTAATACTTTTAATAATATTCAATGGAATGAATGCAGTGATAACCAGTTGCTATTTCATGATGCTGAAAGACATCTCTTTCCTGATGCTTCAATCTGTTGCCCTTTAGGAATGTTGTAAAAACATTTATAGTTCCAAAGTCACATGATGGATATATAGTAAATAACCTTTTCTCTTCTGGTTTCAAATTATACAAATAGTTATTTTAATTTCGTAACTCCCCTTCCCCCACCTCCATATATCTATTTGTGAAAGAAACGTTTTAGAGTGCAGTCCTTTCTTTTTTTAAAAAAATGTGTATATTACTTTTTCCTTTTTTTTCTTGACGGTCTTCCACTTGGGATGAAATTATCCCCTCTTCTTTGGTACTTGGTGCTTGCATTGAAATTGTTTATGTCAACAGCACAAGAGAATGTTTATCAAAAGAAACAATTGTGGAAGAAAATATCCCTTTGTTTATTTTAGATGGTTATAGTAAAGTGTTTAAATATGAATTCAAATGTTGTATTACTGTAGCCATCCATATATTGCATATCAGGAAATGCTTTATATAACCAATTATGAATCATGGATGTAGTATCAGTGATAAGTGTGCCTTAATAAACTACAGGTATTGCTGTTTGTATTGAACAATCTAAATCCTGACAGTGAGAAAAAATGTAATTACACTTAAACCTTGGCTAGCCCTACTAATGGGGGAGGGTGGGGGGTGGGGGGGGTGGTGGTTGCGCGAGAGAGAGAGAGACGCTTTGGCTGGCCGGAATTTCTAGTTGTGTAATTAATACCTGGAATCCATTTACTGGCGTTTTTTGGCAGTTTTTTCTGCTCAAAGCTACTGTATCTTAAACATCACTATCTCCTGCTCATTCACCAAAGCAGGCCTACATGCGGATACTGTGAAAGCTGGCCATCACAGTGCGGTGTTGGTGCACCCTTGGAGAGTTGGGCTGGTAGGAGCCTACACGAGGGCCCACAGAGTGCAGTTATTAATAGGTGTTTATAAACTTCATCTGCAACAAAGAGAATAAATTGGACTGTTAGCGATACAGTATAGTTGCCTTTTGAAAAGTTGTGCAAATGCTTCAGAGTACATTGTATACATATGTGCTATAGTGACTTCTCATTGTGACATTGTAGTCTTGACAAAAATAACAAGATATAAGCCTTCACTGAAAACGTTTTACCCAAGTTTTATGTCTACCCGTTTGTTCAGAATTTTACTTTTTTGGGGGTTGCTAATTTTCAGATATTTTGTTTCAGTTTTTAAAAGAAAACTGTGTGTTGTCTGGTATGATTTATATATTTATAAATCACCATGCAATTTTTTTAAAGTAAGATATTGGTTACAGAGGCTGTAGAAAGATATTAATGATTACTGCATTTGACATAGCGTGTTATCATGTCATCACTGTTTTAAAATCCTTCACAGGAATTGCTTTAAGTGCAATGGTTGTGTATTTGAGGATGAAAGCAGCATCCAAGTTCCACAAGCAGCCCTGAGGGGAATGGCCAATTTTATTTGTATACTTGTTGGTCAGGATATCGAGGGGAAACCTCGATAAGATCCTTTTTCTTTTCCAATACCACCATGAAACTAATGCCATCAGAACAAGCAGATGGGACCTTTGTCTCAACTGCAGTAGAGCACCTCCGACATTGCAGCCCTTTCCCAGCAATCCCAAATTAACATAATTTAAGGAATGAATTTTGGAAGTCATCTTGCTTTGTAGATTTTTAGGTTAAGTGAATCTGAGTATCAGTGATAATAATCCTTTCATTTGCTATAGTGCCTTTCACGTTAACAGGACATCTTGAAGTGATTCATGGGATTTACAACAACAAAATTACATTTGTATAGCTCCTTTCACGTCGGGAGGACGTCCCAAGGCGCTGGACAATCAGTGTTTATTATGAGCTGTGGTGACTATTTTGTAGGTTCGTGGGACAGCCAGTTTACCCACAGCAATGTCCCACAAACAACCATGAGGTGAATGACCAATTTTATTTGGGAGATTGTTGGCCAGGGCACTGGTTGAAATGCCGTTCTATTTTCGAATAGTGCCATTGGATCTTTAATATCCACCTGAACAGGCAGACGGGATCATGGTGCAACATTTCTTCTGAAGGACGGCTCCTCTGACAATGCATGCAATGTAATCTGGATTAAAAAAAAGTATGGGGTGTGGGGGGAGAGGAGAAAAGAGGGAATGAAAGAAAGTTAGGCGAGATGTTAATCTTTAATATAGAGAGGTTACTGGAAATATAATTTTGTTTAAAAACTCCCAATGCCATAACATATGCATTATTAATTTTTTTTGTGTTCAGTAGTTTTTTTGTTATTGGTTGTTTGGATAGAATAACAAAACCTTGATGGGCGTTTCTACTTGGAGATTGATGTGTTCATACAGTCAGATTCTTTTAATTGAGTGTGAACATGGCAATAGAGTTCTTCAACAAGGTCCTAATTAGGTTGGACTGTCAGTTCTTTGCAGTGCACATATTTTCGGTTGAACTGGCTTGAGTGCACAACTGAATGATGCGATGCTCAGATGTTTTGGAGTCTAATGGGAATCATTGTCAGTTGCCCTCAGAATGATGCATTTGCTTTCATACCTTAATCTATTTGAGTATTTTGGATAGTCAAATGATAGCTTATTTTTTCTATTTTTTTTCTATGGGATTTACATTTTGATTTTTTTAAATTTTGTATTTTGATAAAATATTCTGATGACAAGGAGTTTCTTACTATGTGTGGATTTAATGGAAAAGCAGGTTGGGAATTTTGAAGTGAGAAATTGCTTGTATATGTATTGGAAAGAGTTTTTAAAATTGTTTTTTGAATTTACTGTGCAGATGTTAAAAGATTTAAAAATTAAGAAATGCGCTGTTGATGAAAACAAAATATCTGGCTGATCATCTGTCCTGCTTGTATACATTTATTGTTTTACTAGCTAGTATTAAGAGGCTTACAACGGGCACAGAGTAAATTCATGTTTAGCTTTGGGTATTGAGAATTTGCAATGCTTTACTTTCTGTGCTTGAACAAATGAACTGAGTCAAAAATGCTTATTATAATTTGTGGTAAATTATAGAAATGTTGCAGCAGTTTAGAGGAAATATGTTTTGAGTACTTGTTACAAGTGGGTACGTTGAGTTACAGTTGGAGGCCTCTGTACATGTTGCTGTCAACTGTCTCAGTTAAAGATTGATGTAGGTGGCAGGGTAAGAAAGCTGTGTTTTTTTCCCCCTGCATTTTTGTTGTTTCATGGCTGTTTGTGGGACATTGCTGTGCGCAATTGGGCTATCATGTTTATCAACAAATACTATTTCTAACTCCATTCCAGTAACTCCACTTCACAGTAAATCTTGTGAAGTGCTTTGGGATGTCCTCCCAACATGAAAGGTGGCATACCAAAATAATTTATTATTATTATCTCCTTGTGGATTCCAGAATGAGTGTTGGTTAATTCTCAAATCTGCCAAATGCAGGTTGTTCTGAATTTCATTGTCCTTTGGTTAATCACTTAGTGTTGATGGAATACTTCTCTGTGGTTGTTCAAAC